TCTTTTTTAAAAAATCCGAACACGTAAACCGAAAATCAGCTCTGAATTGTAACATACAAAACCCAATAAAACAAAAATACTATTTAATTTTTAAAGTTGCTTTTATTTGTTTTTTATCAATATGCATAATATTGTCTGAAGGCAAAAAACTTTTTCGATGAAAAATGAATTTTTAAATGAATTAATTGTTATTTAATAAATTATTTTATTATTTTTACATAAAGTTACTAAAAGTTGTTAAATATTCTAAAATTAGCGGTACTGACGAATCCTGTATATAATGCTATATTTAGGTACCTATATCTGTACAGATTATAAATAGTACAAGGTTTTTACAATCAACGAAACAGCAATGAGAATAATCTTACTGTCCTTTAACCTATGTGTAGAAAAAAAAAAAAAAATCTTAAATCAAATGTATGGAGGCCCGGAAGAAACATGATCCAATAAAAACATCCGTGACTTGATTTGTACGGCACTGTTAACGGCCTTTATATTTATATAAAATTACTTTAAAAAATTTATAATAATTTCCATCATTCCTGAAAGTTTCTTTAAAATCTGACAATTATTTCTATTTTTGCAAGATTTTCAAAATTAATGTGTGTCATAAGAAAAAAATGAACAAAAAATTTGCCATGTTATTTACTAAAGATCTGGTGATGACGAGAAACGAGATTTTTCAATCAAAAGTTAAAACGTTCTAATAAAGACAGAAAATTATTTAAAAATAATGAAAAATTTCTTTGTTCTCTCCCCTTAATAGTAACATAAACATTTTGGTAATAAAATTCTGATTTCGTCAAGTTTAAGGCCGTTTTTTCATGGTATGACTACTTAAAAATAACGAGGTAAATAAGTTGTTAACGTAAAGATAAATTGTCACTTACGACCTTCCGTACTATAAATTTCCGCACGTAATATGTCAGTGCGTGATGAAAAACATGCACTTGTCATTTGTCAATCAACACCGCAGTTCAGATCGGCTTTCTCCCATTTGAAAAAAACATGTTTTCATCACAGAAAATAAGCAATCTTTGTTTCAAAATATACTAAATAAACTTTCTAATTTCTAATTTTTTTAAAATTAGTTAAAAAAAATCATAATTGATTTTTTTAAATAAATTTTAAACGAAACATTCACTTTTGTAAACAAACGTCAAAAAAAACAACGGAGATTATCGATCGTCTGTCGATTTTCCGATTCAAAAAAATTGAAGATTTTTAACGAAAATTTTGGACGTGCTAGAAATTATTAAAAAATTTTAAAAATATTCAAAAAATACTTTGATCATTCCTCTTGATAATAACATTAACATTTATACGATAAAAAATTATTTTAATCAAATTTAAGGCCTATTTTATTCATGGTATGCTATTTTTTTATCGATCTCATGCACATACCTACTAAATACTGTGAGGATTTCAACCAGCATTAGCATGTTGCAAAAACATTCTAGTTAATACAAAATAGGAACACAAATTCAATATTCTATTAATGCGGCACAATGTCTAACAACTGATACATTAAGTGTACTGACTGTAAGTGTCGTTCAACTCAGGCAACTAGTGTGTACAATCTACGGCATTAATATTTTATAGGAGCTGATAACTTTGTATTTATCAGTAGACCCGACAAATTTTAAAATGTGCACTAAATTGTACTGATACAATATAAAGTACCTACTGGTTTGTGTTGTAGGTTATACAACACAGAAAAATATTATAATTAATGTCCTATTATACAGGTAAGTGGTGCAACCCTATGTAGTTTTATCATAGGTCATTGTTTATTGTAGCCTAACTTCATTTACTGGTAGGCCTAAGTTTTGGACCATTGGTAACCTACTGTGTGTGGGGTTGCTTGGTCCCAATCTATATGGTAGATACAGCCTTAACTCAAAATTTTGACCCATGAGTCCTTATCTCGACTTGTACACTGTAATTTATAGTGTGTTACACAAACAAAGAGGCGGGAGAAAACCAAATATCAAAGACTTATATAAAATAAAAAAAGTATTATAAACCAAATGTAAAATAACATCTGCATACCTGTTTCTAACACACTGGTGGCATCTGGAGCCTCCGTATGATCTGGAAACTTTCTTATGCCGTTTGGACATTGACATCCATCTGATGGGTCTGGCAGGGGTAATCTAAAAATAACCAATCAGACTGTGAATAAATCAGTTCACTAATACCATGTACATAAGATTGAAATTCCATTATGCAAAACGCAATTTTAACAACTGGTTTAAATGGAAATTTAAAATATTGAAAATACTTTTATTCATTAAAAAAAAAAAAAAAAAAAAAAAAAACGAATTATGCATTTTTCATTTACTTACCCCCTTTAATTTTCTTTTGCAGTCACCACATTTTGGTGTGGTGCCCAATTTCTTGACATACAAATAGACAAGTTTACCACCTGAATATAAAAGAAAGCGTAATGAAGAATCACTTTTTTTGTACCCAATGAAACGGAGGAAAAATAAAATAAAAAAGTGTGTGTGTGTGTGTGTGTGTGTGTGTGTGTGTGTGTGTGTACGCACAGAATGAACATGCTTATTGATTGTAAAGTTTACAAACACAGCTTTATGTATATCATAAGACATTGGATATGAGGGGAGTTTTTACTGCAAAGTTTATCTAATTAGGGTTTACAGAATATTAAGACAAGTGCTTGGGAGGCTTTAAAGATATGTTGATAAAATATTTATAAACTTTAAGTTTTAGGCATGAATACAAATTTAACCAAAACGTCTTTTGGCAGAAAATGTGAAACTATTACTTACCAGGAGTCTTGGAGCTACAAAAATATAAAGAAAAAAAAAAACATTTAATATTTATACAAAGTTAAAAAAACTAAGCAAAAAAAAATCAAATTAATATTCGTTAAATTGTCAATGGGATAAATTACTAAAAATTGCTTTCAAACAAAATCAAATATGAAAGACTTTCTATACGAAAACGATGACATCCCTAATCGTAAAATAGGGGAAAAAAAAGCCAAATCTTAAAATTAAATTGCAACTATAAGAATATACAACAATGAACGATAAATTACGCATACATTCAATTCAAATTATCAATTTATTCATATTTTTGGTGTATATTATGATTCTTATGCGGTAAAGAGAAAGTTAAAAGAAAAACAGGTTACATACAATACCGCACATCAAATTCAAACTAAAGATGTTTTTAGCAACGATGACTAAAGTTATAAAATAGGCAAAATACTTACACCTTCCTGCGGTTAGACTTGGTGTTGTATGACAAACGACGTCTAAATGTAAGCCTTTGCGTCATCTGTGAAGTTTCAAAAGTATATAATAATTTTTTTTAAATATTTAAAAAGGCAGACAGGAAATGAAATTGGAGAGTTCTACTGAAAAGGGACATAATTCAATTTCACATGGATTAAGTCTTTTTTTAAGTAACTTTCTTAAAAAAAAATAAAAAAATCATTACTGCTTTCTCGCATATCAATACCGATTTACTTTTTACAGCTAATTTTATTAAAAAAAAATCTTATTTCTGTAAACAAAAGATACAGGAAAAAAAGAGGAGAAATCTTTTAAAAATACCAGGCTAACTTCGTAACTACAATACGTCCCGTATGGCCGACTATCCTGGTGGTAAAAGCTAAAATTATTGGTTAGGGTTTTTTGTATGGTGTTGGATTGTGAAGAAGAAATCTAAAACTATAAAAACTGAAGAGTGTTCAGTTGTGAAATAACCGAATTTATCATTCTCTTAATTCTAAATGTAAAAAAAGTATTACTTTTATAAAGACAACTTCATGCGAATTAATGACTTAGTCAATGTTTAAAAGTTAAGCAAATGTTACTAAAATTGAATTAATTTCCTTTCTAATGATTACCTTTACACTAAAAGTGATACAGTTGAAATAAGTTTAAACGTAAATGGAGGTTTCAATGTGTAGGTGGGATGAAAAGAATCGGACGTTGTCGTTAAAAATACTATCAAGTAAAAATTAAGTCAAAAATATTAATAAGCAAGAATAACAGGAATTTATTTTGCAATAAATGTGGAAGCACACGTGGTCTTTAACGCGTAACTGTTCGTTTTTATCACAATACAAAAGTAATTCTACCTTTAAAGAAAAACGGACAAAACTTTTTCATAATAAATATAAGATCAAAGTATTCACTTGTTGAGAAATAATTTTTAAAATAGGAATGCATTAATTTTTACTTTTTATGCGAGCATTTTATTTCGGATGAATTTTAACCCTTTTTAGCGATTATATTTAAAAATTCCTTTTATCATGCCGTCAAAGCTGTCTTTATTATAGAAACACTAAATTTAAGTTTTGACTGGTGTTAAAATCAGAGATTAAATAATACAAATAAATGCCAAGAAATTAATTTACTGAAAGGGTGTTTTATAAAACGTGGTTGTGTAGTAAACTGGGACGACAAAAGGCCGATTTTTAAGTTTTAAGTTAAATGTATAGACTCCATGTTGATTTAATCACAATTATAAGGAATGGCCTTTGTATTAAAAATAAAAAGAAGGATTAATTATAATATAACCTACTTGTAAGGCACTTTAATTAAAAAAAAAAAAAGAAATATACCAAATGCCGATCTGTCGTTCACTCAACTATTAGCAGAGTGGGCATAACGTGGATCTCGAGGTTAGAATATAGTCATAAATGTAACAAAACACACTTGAATTTGGACAATAAAATGCTAAATAGATAATTTGAGATCTCTGTTATAGCATGATATGATTTTTAACAAACTGAATATAAATCTACTTACGATGTTTGGAGATGGAAAAAATGAGAGAATAAAATTTACGTCCTCACCTTAAAGGCTATCCTGAAAAAGAGGCTAAGCGGAAGTAGCTAGCGCCGTCTACCGACTCTGTTGTCATCACCAACATGACTTCACTATTGGAGTCATACGAACAGCAATATTCTACATTAACGGCTGATATTACGCATCTTATCGGCAAAATATCCATATCTCATGGAGGTAAGGAATATCTTACTTCAACTACTTTACATTTAATTAATTTTAATCGCTAAAATCTCTTTAATAACAAGATTTCCGTTATTAAAAAAAAACTCAAGTGCATGTTCCACCCTTAGTGTCATCATCATAATCAATAACAATGTTGAGGGGAATGCCGTGGCTCATCTAGTTTTTCTGTTTTGCCAGCTGGCTTCGGGATCAAACTCTCATACTAGCTTCCGAAGCTAGATTAAATTTTTCTCACTTTATATTATTCACGGTTAGTTTTAAGTTCTTAAATGTTGTAATACCTAATAAGTGGAAACTAGTAAATTTAACTAACAGAGAATATCAGCTGTAGTATTCGCCTTTTTCAATTTATAATACATTTTTATTTTTTGTACGTCATCTGTTGTGGAAACAACAATATTTTTAATGATTTTTTGTCTTTGTTTTTTAACAATTGGTTTCTTATTAATTATTTTTATTGTCCTTTTAGTCGAGAAGCAAGGCCATGCTCGACAAGTTGAAAAACTCTTTGAAGAAGCCGCAGAGTTGGTAAGTTTATGATACTTTTTTAAAATGTCATTCTCAGCTATTTAAATTAGTTACCGAATTCACTGTAAATTTTTTATATTCATTGTTTTACTTTTAATTACACGGCTTGATCATAGAAAAAAATTTTTTATGTCATCAAGAAAGAGCTTTTTTAGTCTGTTGATCAGGGTCAAATTTTTAGACTTAGCTGTCAAAAATGATTAAAAACTCAGTAAAAAAAGCTGCAAAGCGTGTACATCTGATTTTGTATAAATTAGAAAATATTAACTGACGCATGAAAGCTTTTTTAAGGTTTGTTTTTTTTGGGTTTTTTTTTTTTTCGTATAATCTAAAGAAGCTATTTAAAATTGCATTAGTCATTTCTTACAGAAAACAATTTTTTTTTTTTAATCTGTCTTCTAGCTAGAGAGCATTTTGAAAACAAATTGCTTTTTTGGGGTTGTAAAAAAAATTTTTGTGGCTGTTTGCATCTTGAAGTTTGAAAATTTTTTTTATCCCAGTTTGAAGAATTTAACATTGAAAATTTTGTTTAATATTTATCGTAAATAAGCCATCCCATTTAAAATAAATAAATGCTATTTACTCCAATTGCTCAGTGTACTTTTTGTATTTTTATTATCTTGTTTTCTGGGGTTTTTTTCTTTATTTTATTCTCTAAAACTTTTTTTAGTTATCCTCTGGTCTTTGAGATAAACAATGACTTTCTTCCCTTGCAAATATGAACAATAAGTTTTTGTGGCTGGCTTGATTTCATCGTCTTTCCCCTTCACGAGATTTATAATGCGTTTCTTTGTTTTTATTCATTTTGGTAATGTTTAACCTTCGTGCCCGAAAAACCCGATGTGTCGAAGGAACGATTATTCCCTTGACACCGCTGACTCCCTCGGCAATGTTTATTTTTTACAAGATTATAAAATTACAAAATTATCAAAATGTTGTAAACCAACTACAATGCAATTATTTACCATAAATAACTATTTTATGAGTTTTTTTATATTATAATAAATCTTTGTCAATTCTCAAGAATAAAGACTCGTTGAAACACCGGTTCTCGTAGGATCACCGAAATTAAGCAACGCCGCCAAACCTGGTCAATACCTCTATTGGTGACGGCTTGGGAATACCGGGTGCTGTGAACTTAGATGTTCAAGTGATGTAAATGGATAATGTTTCGGAACTGAAAATCAGGTAGCCGGGTTAGAATTCCAGTCGAGTTCGTTATAAAGCGCAAATACCCGCGGGAAAAACGTTATTTAACCCATAGTTGGAGGTAGAAGAAATAGTTTCGTACCTTTCCCACTGGTATCTGCGCTTTTGAATATAACGAACTCGACTATTATTATTAAAAAAAAAATATTTTTTCTGAATTCTAAATTATCGCTTTTTAAAAATAATAAACATTTCCGAAAGATTAAAAAAAAAAAAAAAAGTGTACAGTAATAGTGGTGTCAAGGAAATAACTCATTTTTATTTATTTTTGCATGTAGAAGCATTACCCATTATTTTAATTGAATATTAATAATTAACTATTAATTAGTTTGAATAGGTACATTATACACATACTTACCTTCATAAAAAGTACACACATTTGCAAGTTGTTTTTGTTCAATAGGTAGAGAAAATGATTGGGAGTTTAAATGCCTGCAGTTTCATCTCCAGTACCAAGTTGTCAAACAAGGCTGAATATTGTCCTTATTGGAGTTAATATAAAATTTTTTTTTTTTTTTTTTTTTTTCTATTCCATAGACAAGAATAATAATAAAAAACTTTTCTAAGGCACACTTGGCTCAAAAGTGGTTTCCAAAATTAAGAAGGCAATACAGGTTTGATTTCTGTCAGGAGGCACAATTTCTTTAGCAAGACTTTTGATCTCTCTGCAAGTAGACACTAAATTTATTGTTTAAAAACAGATGTCTTTTCAAATACACGTACCAACTAAATGTTTATGATAATATGAAATAATGTATTTTATTTTTGTTGTTTTTTTTGTTTTTTTTTATCCATTAATTGCTTAAAAGTTACTTTGTTTCGGGTACAAAAATAAAGTTATCAGTTATATCCTTTGAAACACCCCAACAAGATGTGTGAATTTCTTAGAGTAATTGGATCTTGCAGCAAGATTCTTGCATTACTGTGATGACTTATCATGACATAATAGTAAAACATACTTCGTTTGAAAGTTTTTGTTTTGTTTGTTTTTTTTTTCCCTGATTAAAGAGGGAATATGGAGAAACACATTGTATGACTTTTGAACTCTAGGTTAGTAGACATTGATTGCACTGTTTAAAAAAATTCCACTAAATATAGTGTTTATAGTAATGTATTTTAATTGCATAAAAAGTTATTCTAAATGTAGCTTTTAAATTTAAAAAAAGCAAAGATATTGCAATGAAGGCAGATATACTCTTTTGTACATTATGGTCAAAGAAGATAATATAGATAGAACTACAATTATAAAGAGTGGCTAAAAATAGAAATAGTCTGGTTCTAATACAAATTTAATATTAGTGAAAGAAAAATACTTTAGAGCTGGAATAAATATATTGGAGAAATTTTTCACAATGAAAGAGAACCAACAATACAGAAAGGGCCAGAAATATTGAACTTTGACGTGATATCAACAATGTCCAAATTGAATAGGGGGAGAAAAAAAAGCAGGGCCCAACAGAATCATAATAGAGATGCTCAGCATTGACAAGATTACAGGCATAATAAATGAAATATGCAACAGTGACAATATACCAGAAGACCTAAATAGATCCATATTCATAGCACTGCAAATTAATGTAAACTCCATCGGACAATCAGTCTAATGAGCCATGTAACAAGATTTATCATCAAAGTCTTGATGAATAGAGTACTGCAGAATTGGACCAGATATTAGGACAAGAACTGTGCAGCTTCCTTAAAGACACTGGAACAAGGAATGCTATATTTATGCTCAGAAAGAGCAATGCAAAAGATGTTTTATACATTATGAAAAAGTGTTTGATAAAGTATGTCACAAAGAACTGCTAGGTAAATTTGACATGTGTGGGAAGGATATTAGAATAATCCAGAACCTATACTGGCAGCAAACTACCTGTATATGGATAGGAAATGAGTCCAGTAAATATAATAGGGGGCAACCCAACATGCAAATTACAAATTGGAGATATCGAAATCAAACAGGTGCAACAATTTAGATATCTGGGAAGTGTATTAACAGAAGACAATATTTGATACAAAACCCGAAAGGCATGTTGGGATAGTGAAAGATACCTTCCAAAAGAAGCAGAAAAAACTTTGTTAGAAATAAAGAGAAGAGTATTAAATTGTTATGTAATATTGGTCCTCCTCTATGGCAAAGAATGCTGGACAATTTCTTCACAGATGAAGAGACTTGATGCAACAGAAGGGTGGTTCTACAGAAGGGTGCTGATAATGCCATGAACAGAACATGTGAGCAATGACAAAGTTTTTGAGACACTGGCAACAAAAAGAACATTTATACTTAACATCAAGAAGACAGTTGAAATTTCTTGGACGTAATGAGGAAAGAGGGCTTGGAAAATTTGATACTCACAGGACTGATTCAAGGTAAGCAAACTAGATGAAAGCAATGCACAACCTATCTGGCAAGCTTGAGTGAATGGATGGTAGATCAGTGTTTGGAAAAGATTGCAAAAAGACAAGTTATTAAGAGGTACAAAGGATGGGAAATTGTGGAGAGCCATGACCGCCAGCATCCTGAAGAGACATGGCACATAGAAGAATTATTTTCATTACATTTTATTGTAATATAGAGTATGGGAAAACAATTTTACAAAACAACATACTTAATGCATTACCTGCTTGTTGTAATGAGTTTGACCATAATTTTGATTTAAAAAATGTTACTATAATTAAAAGAGAGAGCAGTTTATTAGATAAATGTATAGAAAGTGCTTTAATTGCTAGATCATCCACAGTAAATTTATTTCCTGGTTCTTATAACACTTTATCTTTGTTGGCAGATCTTCAATTATCACAATGTGGGATTAGCAAAAGTTATAAAAAGAAACGAAAATTAAATTGGCTAGAGTATATACCCAAACACATATTTAAAAAAAAAAAAAATTAAATTTAAAATTTCAGCATCTCCTCTCCTTCATGTGCATGTGTAATGATGTCAACATAAACATTTCTTTTAGTCTGATGAAACATATCACACAAACGATTTTTTCCATTTTGTCATAGATTTTCCTTAAATATATAGTATGAATTTTTAATAAAGCAAAATAAACTAATTCAGTTAATAAGTAGGTAGTCTAAGATTCCACATATAAAAATAAATATGTATGTATAATGTTGTCTACAGTGTGTAGATACTACATTCTGATTCTATATTAACTTACACCCTCCCCATATGGTCAGTTTCATGTGGGGTGCACATGCTGATGGGTTGAAAGCAAGTTGTTAACTTTGGTTCTGTAGTGTTGAAGAGCAAAATATTCCTAGTTTCCATAACCATTTTCACAAAGAATTTTAGAATATAGTGCAAGGGTCTTGTGACATACCCCAGCTACCTATGCTTTTAATCTATGTTCTACTACATCTCTATTTTCATGAGGTAGTATTCATATAAAATACAAATTTGATTGTAACCTAATGTACAATAGATTGTACAATTATGTACAATAATGGATCATATGCAATATAAGTGAACAATTCAACTAGAAAAGTTGAAAATAAATACAATATATCTAAATACAAATTAGAGACAAGTCATAATAGATCCTTCCATCTTAAATAAAGCAACAATGTTTTGTGGTAGTTTTCAACATCAACTTGAGGTTTCTCTTGTTAAAAAGTTGAATAATTTTAGCATATTCAACATTATGGATAAAAATAGTGAATTTTATATAGTGTTTTTATGAGACTTAGCATGAGCAAAACAAATTCACAAATTTGGACTAAAAAAAAACCAGAATGATGTCAAAATCTGAAAAAATTTTCATTCTTTAATAGTTTAATT